CTATTATTATTACTCTTACACATCCGCTGCATTAAAATCGTATTGCAAACATAAAAAATATTATCATAGGTATTTGACTTGTGCAGTAGGTATACACAAAACACGGCAACACGCCTACCAAGTGAGGGCGTTATTTTATGTAACTTCAAATTAATATTGAATGAGACCTCAACTCGATCTGTGCTACCTCATGTCTTCATTATTATCAGGATGTACCACCCTACTATTACGAATTTACAGGGGGATCCACCAAGCATTGCCACCCCACACAACCCGTTTACCAGTTAATAATTAATTAATTATAAATCAAATTTTTTTTACCAAAATCCACGTTTTGAATACCTAAATCTTTAATTACATTTTATTATCTATATCGATACAAACTTCTTTTTTTATTAAGAACCACATACCTATATATTTTTTACTGTAAATTGTTAAGCAGAATTTTTGGAATCATATATAGGACATAGATATAAATTGAAATTCAAACTAGTTTCTGAATTAATAAACTACATATTTTTTTGTTTTAATTTTAACCGTCAGAAGTGGATGATCTGTGCGAACATTAGGTAATACACCAACTCCACAATGTATCCACTGCCGAATTAATAAACCAACTACTAAAAAATAAGTAACTATAAATTATAATAGTCCATGGAAATAAGTTTAAAATATCCCCTATATTCTTAAGCGAATATGTCAAAATTATATTATTTATAATAATTTTATTTTTATAAAAATTGTCCTAGTACAATAATTACGCTGTCTGTTTTATAATAATTTGATGTAAAATAATTTTTAAATGTTATTATTCTTAGTACATAAATAGTCTAATAACTCAGAAACTATACTCTTTCGAATTTTGATTTAGATATATTATTAAAACCATTAAAATGTTCAAAAAAATGTGCCCTAACAATTTTCTGTAAAAATGGTGGTTATCATTTGAAACGTAAAAGTTTTTTTGAACACAAGACTAATAAATGATAGGAATCAGTAAATCACCCTGTATACAATTATAATATAGGTACTGATCTACCTACTATAACCTAACCCCGTAATTACATGTTATTACTTTTTAATGATAATATATGTTACATATTATTAGTATAATATGTATTGTGCGTGGTGTGAACACTCGATTGCTATAGTAAACGAAAAAACAAAATATAGTAATTCCAATCAATATTATAGACCTTGACATTGTGAGATGTGTGTGTCGTGTGACTATTATTATAAATTATAATATAGACCGCGTGTGCATTGACCTTGTGTGCGTAGCAGACAAACGGTCCACCACGATGTGCGTTTAGCGTGATAATACGTTAATACTTTACAATAATATTAATTTATTAGTGATGAACAAATCACTGGACAGTATAATATTTAAGGCCACACTGAAACATTTAGACATTTAGTTTTTATAGTTTCACAAAAAAATATTACATGGTAATATGAAACTTTTCCGGCGAGTAGTGGATCAATTAATCTATGAACTTATTGCACCTACATAAGACATAAATAATAATTAATAAATATTACGTAGGTACTCGTACACAGATTATGAAACCGAAAATTGAAAAATAAATAAAATATATTCATTATTCATTAATTTCACTATTGTTAAAGCTTCAAAGATCTTGATAGAATGTTCTGGAAATATGTGTTCTTGTGGCTGTGAATAGCAAATAGATAATAATAATAACTGTGAAAACACAGCTATAATACGTAGTAACTAATATTATTCGCTTTATTTACAGCTGATAGAGCTGCTATAGATACACGCATACACCTACAGTAATACAGTATAGTAAATAGTAATAATGTAATATCAAATATATATTATTAGTGTATATAAAACAGTTTCAATGTTTCATTGGCTGTATGTCTGTATATACCTAGCTGATGTAGGTACTACAATATCGATAACTATATATAAAGATAGGAAGTAAAATATTATGTGCAAATGTATTTGTGAATTGTGTTATTTTAGGTAGGTAAACACTGCAGTATTTAAGGTCTTCAAGATCTGCAAGACGTCGATCTGACATCTGAAAATCTGTGGTCCTATAAGATAAACTATGTTTAGACGTATATATATGATATGTCGTATAATATGTAGGTGGACAGTAGAAACTTTAGCCAATGTTCTGTAAGTGACATAATAATATTATGTATTTCTTAAATCGACATTGTTTACTATTATTATGGGTACCTAGACCTAGTAACCTAACCTAGTACCTACTTCTGATTTAGTCATACTACTAATGAGCAATAATACCATACGAAGGGCAAAAGTGGCGTAAAACTATATTCACAAGCTCAGATTAACTTAATTATTTATTTTAATATTATATACCAACACTTTTTGTTTTTATTGTCGTATAATACAAATAATGCAGTTATATCAGTATCCCAACATAATGAAAGTGAAATCAGTTTACATTATATTGCTTTTTTTCTGTTGTAATTTGAGGACCATTAAATGTAAATACAACTCTAAGCAAATAATCAAAATTTTTATTCTTAGCTTGTGCAAGTTAGTTTGTTAGATGAAAGATGAAAGATGTTAGAAAGTTAGATCAAATATAACACTCCATGGTGGGGTTTCGTGTGTTTGTTCATTCTGTTGTATATATTAGAAATAATTTATATATTTTATTATTTGTACTTTACGTCTATATACCTAACCTATTGATATTTTTCTTGATAGACAAAAAAGTGTAAACTGTGTATTATCATTGATTATAAATACTAGTATCAATAATGTAATAATATTTTAATGATTAATATATTAGTGATAATTGAAGAGCAGCTTACGCTTACCCATTTTTGAAATTTACATACTTTTTCGGCCGATATTTATTTTAACAACTTATATCGGGTATTCTTTAGAGTGTAGTTACCTACTAGGTACATAAAACGGACTTCAATTTGGTAATCAACGCATGGATGTAGAAGGACAAATCGTCAATCACTATTGTTATATATTTAAATTTAATGTTAATTTATGAGACACATCTTCGTAAAATTTAACCACTACGAAATTCCGATTAAAATAAGTATACATCTACCACACGAAAACCGTTATAGATACATGTAGCACAACCACGAAACGTACTTGATCTTAAGCTTCCTCCTTCAAAAAACTTCAAGTACAACAAAATAATATTTTTCTGTGGTCGTTTTTTTTTTTTTGAAATTTGAACCAATATAATTATACAATTATATTATTTATCATGGTCAACGTTATAAAAAACAAGAATTATAATCAACGATATTTAATAATAAATATAATAGTGTATGCAAAAAATGAAATGCTCATATTAACCATATTTATACGTATTTTTATTTTTGAATCTAAAAGCATGAATCTTTCAGTGCTAAATAATTTAGGTATAATTACAATAAATTAAAATTAAAATTCTTTTCAAACCCAATAAAATGAAGAAAGAAACATGTATTATTATATATTCATCCCGCATTTGTATAATAAATATCACAATTGCAACTTTAGATAGGTACATCGTCAGGCGTCAATGGTAGTATCACTCGACACTCAAAATTGTAATATAAAACTAACGAATTATAGGATAAGTATAGATTTATTTTATAATTATGTGTTTTATTGTTTTTATTTTTATTTTTTGTGTCTGTGTACTCGATAACTAGGTAGTAGAAATACCTAATGCTTTGTTTTTCAACTTCAGTATCTTATTTGACGGGAAAGTGAATCTAGTTGGTGCTTGGGGAGGTCAAAATTACCGGTAGTTTTCAAAAGCACCGGGAAAAAAAAAAATTAAGGTAAAACGGACATTTTTACTCAAAATCGGGTTTCGACAAGATCGATTTTGGTTTTTGGTGTATTCAGAATCAATGGTATAAGCGGGAATAAGAAGTATGCTCAATGATAAGACTGCTCATATTTTTCTAAGGAGCTATGTGTAATTTATATAGGTAACCAACAATAAACACTAGCGACGACGTCAGGACGTCACGCGTATACATTAATTATTCTTATGCAATTCACTATGCACAAAAACACAAGGCGATGCACACGTGCAAACTAGGACGAAAACACGGTTCGTATAATGTATTATGTACTGGATGACTAATTCCATAAATCTAAAATAGCACAGTACACTGGGTATATAGATATATATAGTAGTATTATACGTCCTCACCAATATCCTACAGTGTACGCATATTTTAGAAATTATTATCGTAATATGTCATATGTGGCGTGGTCCGAAATGTCGCCGCCGTTCCCGGTCTGTCATCCGCCGGTAGTCTGCCGACAATCAGTTCAGCGTGCTCTAGTGACTAACAAAAACATAAATCCCACACGACAGGAAGACGTTGACGATCGCACACGCGCAACCACGCCACATATCGCCGCCGCGGTGATAACGATATTACATCATCTGTGGACTGTTCGGCAGTTCGCCTACAACATAGAACAATATAGAAGCGACACTCGATCAGCTGATGGGTGAAGTGTTTACCTATGATCTGAAGTCCGAACATTCAAACTGTTTCCGTTTACTAACATGATGTTATACCCGTATTGAAAAACCGTCTCCGATTAATAGGCAGGGTATTCTGCGCGGGTCGGGTTGTTTCCAGCATAGAAAAATTGTTTCCACTGTTTACTGTAACGTATGCCACGCCCCTTTAGAGACCATTTTCAAGGCCACAATCTCCCGATCCGACCAATTCACGGAGTGTCGTACCCCTGCCTACAACAACAACAGTTTGTGCTTATCAGTTATCACTATTTCGTAATATTTTCATTGAAGAATTTCCCGATTTCCGTTTGAGAACATTCCTATCTGTTTACTGTAGAGTTACTAGTCAGTAGTCGCCGGGTCTCGTACGCCAGTTCGGTCTCCCCGAGTGAAAAATACCGAAAAAAATACTCTGGACGACCCGTCGTCGTTTTAAAACCGTATCGTTCCGACATGCATACGAAACGGAATCTGTAACGCAAATCGGCAGTCATGAACGACGCGAAGGGATCGGTGGACGACATTGACCCGTAAGCCTACCCACCCACAGAATTGTGTAAAATATCTTTCCATATGTGGCCCGACGATTCTTCCGTCCGTCCATCCGTTCGTTCTGTTCGTCTACGTTGTCTCAGCGCTCCAGTTACTGACCGACACTATTTTTTTTTCTTTCAGGAGAACGCGGTCGCTGAACGCTCCCAGCCCGGTCCAGCAGTTTGGACCATGTGGCCGTATCATGAAAACCTCTGCGTTGGTCACGTAAGTTAGTTGTACGGTTATTGTGCTGTGCCAGTGATCGTTGTCGCTCTATATTTATTTTATTTTCTGTTTGTCCAGGACAATTCAAGATCCGGCCAGTCAACGTTTGACGTGGGCCAAAAATCCTCTGTCTGTGTTGGTGATAAAAAAAGTTAGAGATATGTCTGTTTTACCACCGTTCATAGAACTCGTCAGATGGCTGACACAGGTACGAATATCTATAATCGGTTACTCGGGTGAAGGTATTTGCCATTATTTATTTCAAAATATTCTATTTGACCCTAGGAAAAAAGCATGATAGTGTTTGTGGAACATTCTGTGATGGAAGACACAATGCTCTCTAGTAACTCGGGCTTCATGGAAATACGAGAGAAATTAAACTCTTTTCAAGATAGCAAAGATGATCTAACGGACAAAATAGACTTCATAATTTGCTTAGGTGGAGACGGTACTTTGCTCTACGCTAGTCTTTTGTTTCAGGTAATTTCTAAATTATTATTTTGTCATTATTGTTTATTGAAATGTTTATTTTTTATTTTAGAAATCCGTACCACCAGTTATGGCGTTCCACCTGGGCTCCCTTGGTTTTTTGACGCCTTTTAAGTTTGACAATTTCCAACAGCAAGTGACCAATGTACTTGAAGGACATGCTGCTTTAACGTTACGTAGTAGACTTAGGTGCATAATTGTTAAGAAGAATGAAGACAAAGATAAGCCTCAGCCAAATTTACTAGTACTTAATGAAGTGGTTATTGACCGCGGACCATCACCATACCTTTCAAACATTGACTTGTTTTTAGACAGAAAATACATAACTTCTGTTCAAGGAGATGGTAATAATTAAAAAATTAATTAATAACAAAATGAAAATGTTAAGATATATACTTTGGTTCAACTAAAGAAACGTACTTGGCAGCCAATTGTGCATTTGTACCCTAGACCGTATAGTTGACTCAGTTCGGGATACAAATGAGTGTTGTTTGTCCATCATCTGACAAAAAGTGGATGCCACTGAGTACGTTTCTTAAGCCTAGGATATATTTGTCGACTTTAAAAATTTATGTTTCTGACTACGATATCCTAGGTCTGGACCCTGCTTTAAGTTAAACAAAGTATAGGTACAACAATTATTATTGAAGTACATTACAAGAAAAATAAAATATTTTAAACAATGCATAATATATTATAAGATCTTAAAATGTATATTAAGGTAAACCTTTTTTTTACATAAACAGTGGCATCTGACATAGATAATTTGTATTTTTCAATATCTTAAAATAAAACTAATAACAGTAATAGTAAACAAATCTCAGAAAATTCCCACTGATAGAAATCTTTACAATTCATTTTTTCTAGTTTAATAGAACTTCAATTAGTTTAAACTAAACAAATAAAGACATACATTTTCAAAATGTAATGTATATTTTAGTGTGAAAGAAATTTCAAGGGATTTTTTTTTACATAATTTAAAACTGAGCATTACAATTTTTCTTCTTTGTATCCAAGCGCTGTTAAGATATTTAAATTACTATTTAACTCAAAAGTTTGTTGATCATTTAATAAAACTTTATTTTTTTTATTAGGTTTGATTATCTCAACACCAACTGGAAGTACAGCATATGCAGTTGCAGCAGGTGCATCAATGATTCACCCAAGTGTTCCAGCCATCATGGTGACACCCATATGCCCTCATTCTTTGTCTTTCAGGCCAATAGTAGTACCAGCTGGTGTTGAACTAAGTGTAAATTATTATTTTAAAAGAATTCCACACTTAGTGATAAAAATAAATAAGCAAATGCTAAATTTTAATATTATCAAGTACCACATAGTTTTTTGCATGATTGCATTTTGCTCATAAATATTACATTTATCTCTTAAAATTTAACTTAAATATTGTACACTTAGTCATAGGCACTATTAGTTTATAATATAGTTAGTAATAGGCACTATTAACATCATGCAACTATCAAATATTTTATCAGAATATTTTTATTTATCACTGAATAGATTTTATTAAACTTTTAAGTTAGTTTTTATCATATAGTTTGAACCATTGGATTAGACCATATTATGGAAATTATTTAAACCATGGCTAAATATATAGGTATGATCGCAACTTTGTGATACGCAGGTGTCATGGCCGCCACTGGCAGTGATTTTTATCACTTCGATTTATCAGTTTACACATGGCTAAATATATATATTTAGCCATGATTAGACTAATCGTTAATCAACATCAACGAAAGCGGCAAAAGCCGATGATAAAAATCACTGCCAGCTGAGATTTTTTTCCATGCTATATCATGGAATAATAGTACATGCGTAGCTCCTAACGAAAATGCGTCTCAATGAGATCATACCTATATATTTAGCCATGATTTAAACTATCAAGTATGAAATATTCATATAACTTGTATTTCTTCAATAACTTTTTAAATAGTAAGAATATAAAATTAGTCTCTCAAATGATTTGATATTAATGATATTTTGGTTAACCCGTAAGTGGTATGGTCTGGTCCCATAGACCGCTGCAGTTTTTGTTTTGGTTTACTTCTTAAAATGTCGTACCACTTACGGGTTAAGTATAAACTTCATATAAACTTATCAACAATTATGAAAGATTTGTGTATATTTCTACAAACATTGGTAACTATTACAATTCACAGACTGCACAATTATTCAGTAATATACTATATTATACAATAAAATTGTATATTACAAAGTTCCATTCAACAAGAAATTGTTGGTAATCATGACATTTGTTGTTATTTATATATTGATTCTTCTTATATTAAATCCGATGTTTCTTATATAATAAATAATATAAACACATTTATTTCTAGTATTCTGCTATACTCAAGACTATTAATTAACTTCATAATAATTGAAAAAAATAAACATGATTAATCAGCAAAGATAAATTTTTAACTGAAGTAAAGATAAAATTATAATAAAACTATATATTGCAGAAGTATTGTGAATTATCTTTTAACATTCATTAAACATCTCGAAAATATTATTAAAATAGTATCTAGTAATTGGAAAAACATTGTGTAAATACAATTTAAAAAGTGAGAATACATAAATTTATATTTTATGAATTTGTCTAAATTAAAAAATTATAGTTGCACAAGACATGTTATGAAACTACAATTTTAATTTTATATAATTAATAATTAACCTTGTTTATGTATTCAAATCTTAAATTGTATTAAATCAAGTGCAACCTAAACACCAAATATCTATGTTCACTGTACATAGGTACATTATTTAATAGTAATTTGATGTTTTACATCAATTTTGAATATTTTTGATATTGAACACGATACATTTCGGTAGTGACAACGATCATAATTTTTACATTTATTTTATTTAAGATTTGGGAACACTTTCAACCAATTGCATTTGGATTAGACTATAATCTTACTCTGCGATTGAACTTTTGAGTTGTATCAACTAATTTTTATTGAAATTGTGTTTCATATGTTATGTAGGTTAATTTCATCAATATTAATGATTAATTATGATAAATAAATAAAAAAAATATTTATCCACACTCACTATGTGGAATTCTTTGCATATTTTGGTTAATTTTAGTTTTTGTAAATAGTTTATAAGTTATGAAATAGTTGAATGGTTACTAGATCAATAGAGTTAGGATATGTTTTGTTTCTTTATGTAGATAACGGTATCACCAGATAGCCGCAATACGGCATGGGTTTCATTTGATGGTCGTAATCGGCAAGAAATTTCTCACGGTGATAGGTAATACTGTAATAGGAAAGAAAAATAGAGATTTACTATTTATAAATTTGGAATGAATTTTACATTGTTGTTATTTGTCAAGGCTTGTATTCGTGTAAAAAATGCTTTTGAGGTGCACATGGTTATCTAAAAAACAAATCAAATATTTGTTATACATTTTAATAGCTAATTAGCATTTTAGTATTTAAAATTAATGCTATTTTGGTTTCAGAAACTTTAATACAATTTAGTGTAATGAAATATAAGTCAATTGGCTTCTGTGAATGATGATAAAACAAAATGTTATTACCTAGCTTAAAAATTAGTTTTTTTTTAAATTCCATGTGTTAAGTATTTTAATTCTGTGTGGATTATAGTATTGTTACTGATATAGCAGGTTTGGATACTTTTTGCAGATTATGTTGAGTCCGGATGCAAGATCAACAGCTTGGGTTTCATTCGACGGCCGAAATCAACAGGAGTTGTGTGCAGATGATAGGTCGGTCAATAAAAAATGTAGAATAATATTTGGTGATGGATAATAAGTGCATGGTAAAATTTTGTTTGTCACTCTGTAAGTTTTTTATCAATAACGGGGAAGGATCAGGGCATATGTAATCAGACTTCAGTAATTACAAATTTACTTACTTACTTTTTATTATATCAAATATAATTGTCAAGTTATTAAACACATATTCATTTATTTATGCTGCACGTTTTAACCGTTCAACCTATTACAGTTATGTATGTTAATAATTTTAAGACATATGAAAATGATAACCATGTGTATCAGTTTGCATGAATATTTGCTTTCCATTAATGTGCCTTTAATTGCTTTCTATATTGTAATTCAATAGCTTAACAAATATTTTATTTACAGCTTACAAGTAACTACATCTATATATTCGTTACCATCAATATGTGCTCAAGACCAAATATCTGATTGGTTTGATTCATTGGCTGAATGTCTACATTGGAATGTGCGAAAACGACAGAAGCATTTTGAGGAATTATCTGATCTGGCGCATTGCAAGTATGAGGATTCACTAAATTCAACGTCGAAAGACAGTTTATTAGTTACGGGTAAATAATCAAACTGATGTTTATATTTTATTACAACATTTATTGAAATTTATGAAACTAATTTTTGGTTTTACTTTTTAGACTAGCAGGGTATAATCAATGAAGTTCAACATTAACCAACAGATACCTTATCCTTTAGTCGATAAGCACCTGTTCTACCATCGGTGCTTACAAATGGATTTCAAAATTGTGCAAAATGAATTTTTTTATAATTATTATTATTATTATTATTATTATTATTATTATTATTATTATTATCTTGTAAGTACCTGTAGAAGGTATACATTTATGTGTTTCTACCGCTCGTGATTAAAATTACCTATTTATCATTTAATTATAGTTTCAGTACTGAAGTTGTAGTTTTGACAAATTAATATTGTGTATCTGTATTACATTATCGGTGAAGTAGATGTATTTTAATTGAAAATAATCAGTTTATGTACAGATCAACATAAATATTATAGTCGTTAAATAAAAAAATAAGTCTTTAATGTAAGAGTAATTTATTCTTGGTTATTAGAACTCTCCAATTTGATTTTTTACCCATGTATACAATTTCTTCCATTTTTAAGATGAAATTTAAATTGTAATTTGTTTTTGATATTGTTAAAAACGCAAATATTTATGTTTATTATTATTTTTAGCTCAACATTTGTATAAATTACAAAAATTTTAATTGTTTTTTATTTATTTAAAAACAAAATTATTTATTAATGACTAAGAGTATACATTAAGTAATATATTATCATAATAGTTTCATAAATCTTTGGAACATTTTTCTTCATCAAAAGGTCTTCACACAATGTCTAATAAACATTGCAACACCCATAATTCACTTTTGTTAACTAGATTTCAGTCAATAGAGTGATCTAAATTGTATGGTATTGGCTTCGTTAGTATTGAATCTGCTTTCGAAATATCTGCAAATGTCTTTCACTGGCACAGATCTCAAATCCAAATTGTTCATTGACCTAGACTTAATGTTTGTTATGTGAGATGAAAGATCGTGCAAATTGTCCACACTTTTTGAAGAGCAAGTGAGTGATTCTTCGAATATCTTGCGTTTCTGTTTAACTGGTATTAGGTCTGAGAACTCATTGACGGGCGATCTACGCAATTGTTCGCATTCTCGAATCAAGTCTGGCAAGTGTGAAACATTCTTCTTGTACATACGTGAACTAAATAAAGGCATATGGTTATTGTTGACTTCTTGCATATCCAAGCTGGTTTTTTTGTGTTTGGATGCAGATGTCATTAATGAATCTGTTGACGAGTATCGTCGTAACGGTGCATGGTCAGTGACAATGCCCAGTATATCAAGGTACTTAACGTCATCCAATGGTGTTTGGCTCAGGAGTTGTCCTGCAATGGTTGTTGTCCAGTGATGGAAGTCCGTTTCTGTGTCCACCTAAAAATTAAATTATGTATTATTGACTATTGTGTATTATGTATTATTATTATGTATTTATGTATTATTCTATAATACGCATACAAAGTCAATAAAATAAGAATAAACAAGTAGACAGATTAGTAGCTTATTTAGGAATTTTTCATGGAGGGGGTCCAGCTAATTTTCCAAACACATTTAAGTAGGGGTTTTCGTTACAGAATATTTTAATATAATATACCTATATTAGATGTTTAGATAGGTATTTATGGGGCTAATGAGGGTCCGCACCCCATCCCCCCCCGTAAATACACTACTGAGTGAGATGTAAAATCAACATTAATAGTATCTAGTCTAGTAAATAAGAAACTTTTAAAAGTCTCAAGTTTCATTTTTTGTCGGAAGTTTAAAAATCACGCAGATACTAGCAGTGGCGCAACCAAGGGGGTGTTTTGGGTATCTAGACACCGCTGTTGAACTGTAACTTATAAAACAAATGCGGGTTTTGGAAATTTATTATTTTTTAAATAAACATTTTATTATAACCCACATATTATATGTATGCTATACACAGTGGCGCCGGATTGCCAAAATAAAGGTGTGGCGAAATTTCATTATGACAATAATCCACCCACCCACCCATATATATATATTTAAGCTAGTGTTAAAGATCCCCCCCCCAAAAAAAAAAAAAAATTGCTAGCCCCCAAAAAATCAAATATGTAGTATAGGCCTCAAAGGTTCAAAATTGCAACCTCCCAACTTCAAAACTTAAATTGCTCATAACTGTTGAATTTAAATTAATTTTAAATTGCAGTTATGTTATATTTTACTTACCTATACAAATACAATTTAGAGTTAAATAATATTATACATTTATTTATTTATTTAAAATTAGGGTACAGGCAAATACCAAATTAATTGTTTATTACATTTATGATTAAATATTATTTAGGTACCTAGTACCTACCTAGTGGCTAGTGCCTAGTGCCTACTAATACATTTTGTAATTTAACTTTCACAAAAGATACAGTGAAATAGTGAATATTATTACTGAATCAAATTAATTCATTACATGACTTTTAAGAAACAAAATTTTATTTCTTGAATCAAATGCAGCAATTTGAAACACAAATATTTAGGTATAGGATTAGAATAGTAGATTCAACTCAGCTTTAACAAATAAATTAGGCACTATAAATATTATTCAAGTAGTAGTAATAGGAGTAAAATAAAATAATATTTTGATAAAATGTATCAAATAAACGTATAATAAAAAAACTGTTTTATCATGGACATAAACTTTTTCAAATATACTATTACAATAATTTTTTTAAGATAATACTGTTATTTGAAAAAGTGGTAATAATTTCATCTGGACATAAAGTAATGTCCTTTTCACATTATATCAACATTAATGATTCCATCCGCTCTTCACCCATAGTACTTCTCAACCTAGTTTTGATCAATTTCAATTTCAAAAATGCCCTTTCGGGCGATGCACTTGATACCGGTAGTGTTAGAGCAATTGACAACGCTTCATAAACAGAAGGAAATATATCCTTCGGGCCATTTAAATAAAACACATTATAAGTATAATTTATTGTGTTTTTAGTACAAATAGTACCTATAGCCTATACAACACAGAGTTGTAAAGTAGGTATATAAACTTAGTTTATAAACAGCTATATTATACATCAATTGCAGTTCCCACAGTTTAAATTTAAGTTTGAAGTCTTTAAACTACGGCTGGAAACCAACTAAAAAGTGGTTACTGTTATTGAAGTAGGTAATCAGTAATTGTAATACAAATCTATATCCGAACGTTTATAAACTACTTATTGACAATTCTTTTAACGTTACCCGTGACATCTTGTGAAGCTGAGAGGTTATTTTAAACTTTAAAAAGAATCAAAACATACCTTAGAAACTCAATATCAGACAATAGACTAAATGGATTAGCAGCATTGAATATTCATTGAGTTACAGCGTGTATAAAAAATGTAAATTAAAAATGCTCAAGTCTGCAAAGATCTATATATCTACATTATAATATACACTATATATAATAATTATATAGTTAATACAATTTATAATATTATGTAGGTATTATGTATGTAGTATATAAATGTATGTTGAAATCTCGTCGTGTCTACATGACTACATAGATATTATATTAGGTAGGTATGTATCAAAATAATACAGCCTAATATTTGAACCTTATTACTCTTTAGATACAATTCGCATTACCATTATAAATAGTTATAATATTCTACCTATTTATTATTATTATTTATTACCGATACATGTGACACTACTGACATTTAAAATTAAATCCGCATTATATAAAATGTAGTCATGTAAGTCGTAAGAATATTAAGTACCTACCTGCCAACCTACCTGCCTATACCAATAAGTTTTTTAAAAACTATTTATACCTATAATATTATATTGTCCTTCAATACTTTTAAGGAATATGTAGATATATTCAGAGCCGTGTTAAGAGGGGGGGCCAAAGGGGGCAATTGCCCCCGGGCGCCATAGTTTTGTAAAAGTAAGGGGGTGCCTTTATATTTGCTCTTAATATGCTACCTGTAGCCCAAATTGTAGGGAAGGGGAGCCAATTGCCCGGAGCGCTGAATTGCTTGACACGGCCCTAGATATACTTCGGCTTGTATTGCAGTTATACATTATACAAACTGAATTAAATAATAACAGAGGATTGTCAACTGTGCACTATTTGCAGTGCCGTCCCAACCAATAACCATCAGTAACGCCCAAGGGCCAAAGCCCAAGAGCAATAATATATGATGCCCCCTCCTCAAAAAAAAAAATATATAGGTAGGTATCTAAAATGAACTTTACATTTTTAGCGTATAATTAACCTCATTCCTTAAATATGTTTAATACTTCTTAATTAATAGTAGGTACTTGCTTATTTATTATTATTTTCGAAAATATTGACAATATGTAGGTACCCAGGTACCTACCCTATAATAAGTACCTACCGGCTACCTATTATATAATGTACCTACTACCTACCAATAGTTGAGGTAATTTCTGATCTATAGACTTAGTGTTAATTAGACTGTTCATAATATTACCTATAAGCAATCGGCTATGATACCTACCTATCGGCTATTACATCATCAGTGGGAGTACAGAGACTTTGACTAGGTATAAGAATTATAATTTATCAACTCCTCAATTAAAATTATTGAAATTGCCGTTAACGTTTTCGTAAAATTGTGTTACATATTAATTTATTGACATTAAATCGTATTCCTCCCTTTTATTGTTATACTTATAACTTATCTGATAATAACTAATGAAAAAAATTGTTTTTTTGCAAAATATTATAATACCTATGTATTATAAAAATATGAGAATATTATAATATATGGCTTAAGTAATTTAAGTTTAGTATCGTTTCATATCCATCCGGTATGGTCTAGTGGCTAGGATACCTGGCTTTCACCCAGGAGGCTCGGGTTCGATTCCCGGTACCGGAATAAATTTTTTGCATTTTTTAACAGCAAAAGTTTATAATTATAACAATTCAAATCTTTATATGAGATGCTCCACCCCATTTATACTAAAATAGTAAAATGTATTCAGATTTTGAAATTCTGATCAAATTCTTGAATTTTTTGCAACAAATAAAAAATTGGTCGAGGATACGGCGTAGGTATGTTACAA